AGGCCCTTGCACTTGCCAAAGAAGCACTAAGCAATGTAGTTTTGTTTGTTTAAATTTACATATTTTCTTTCTTTCTTTTTTTTTTTTTTTTTTTGCAGAACCGGGCATTGAACTCAGGCCTTTGTGCTTGCCAGGCAAGTGCTTATTTGCATTGTAGTTTTATTGGCGGGCATTTTTCACTGCAGACTTGAAGAGCTATCACTCTGCCTCCCCATGCCTCTGCCCCAGACTCCTCCCAGTTTCTTTTTGGCCTCTGAGTTTCCTTTACAGCATTTTTGTAGTAAAACTTTCTAGCTGACTAAAGTTGTCTGTGGGGCACATCATCCACCATGGATGGAATGGAGGAGATCTAGGCGGCCAACATACCCACTGTCAGGTACTTGGTGAACAAGCTTAGAGTCAACTCTCGGCAGCTTTGCAGTATGCACCGTTGTTCATGTTTTAGGGCATGGAGGAGCCAGAGGATGCGTAAGCCCAAGGGAACCAGGCGGAGTGAAACAGCACTGCATGACCTCAGTTAATGAGGAATCAGAGAAAGCCAAAATCAAACTGGGCTTGGTGGGACAAGCCTGTACTTGTAGCACCTGGGAGGCTGAGGCAGGAGGATGCCTGTGAGTTTGACAGCCTGGGTTACATGGTGAGACCATGTCTTAAAAAATCAAACTAACCGAACAAACAAAAAAACATAAGGCACAAGACAACCAAAATTGCACTCAAGCAGTGTGGACTGGGCCTGCGTAGCTCAGGGCTAGGGCATTTGCTGTGTGAGGCTCTGGGCTCAGCCCCCACCTCCAAGAGGAAACGAGAGCAGAGTGGAACGGTGAACGGTGGCGACTGGATTATGGAGCCTGCAGTCAAAAGAATCAGAATTCCAGCCAGCCGGGACGCAGAGGTCTCTGTGCTCATACAGCCTGCTCATGAAATGCCTTTCGGGCTTTTAAAAAATATTGTAGGGGGCTGGGGAGATGGCTCAGTAGAATAAGCGCTGGCTTGGCAAGCGCAAGGTCTGAGTTCAGTCCCCGGTTCCGCCAAAAAACCAAAAACAACAAAATATATATTTTAGGGCCAGGGAGATAGCTCGGTGGTCTAAGTGCCTGCCTGGCAAGTGCAAGGACCTGGGTTAGATCCCTGGCACCGAATGCCATGGGGACCTCTGCCAAACGCCACTGGAGCCGAGCGTGGTAGCGAGCCCTAACATTCCAGCACTGGGGAGCCTGAGACAAAAGGATTACTGCGAGTCTGAGCTACATAGCAAGACCCTGTAACCGAGAAAAAAAAAAAAAAAAATCTACTCGCACATGGTTACAGAACATACATTTTAGGGCGGGGGAGATGGCTCAGTGGAATAAGTGCTTCCCTGACAAACACAAGGGCCTGAGTTCAATCCCCGGTTCCGCAAAAAAAAAAAAAAAAAGAACATAACATTTTATGTTCCCCTTGATGGTGTAGGTGTGTGTGCAACCACGGCTCTCCTTCCCTCACTCTATCTTTAGATCCCCTTTCCCATTTTCATTACTACTTTGTTTTTTTGGTACTGGGGATTGGGATTGCATTCAGGACCTTGCGCTTGCCAGGCAAGGGCTTATTGTACTGAGCCATCTCCCCCGCCCCTCCTTTTTTTTTTGGTCTTTTTGAAATAGGGTTTCTCGCTGTGCAGTTCAGGCTGGCCTTGACTCACTTTGTAGCCCGTACTGCCCTGGGCTCAAGCACCGTCTCAGCCGCCAGAGTGCCGGGGCCACAGGCGTGCGCCACCGCGTCCTGCTCTTCACTGCTGTGCTTCGTTCATGTACGGCACACGTCTGCGTTCACTGTGGGTATCTGGTTCGTACACGAGGCATCCGAAGTCATGTTTTGGTTGTTAGTGCGTCGAATATTGTTTTTCATCTTCTGATTTTGATTTTTTTTTTTTTTCTCTCTTTTTTGTGGAACTGGGGTTTGAACTCAGGCCCTTGCGCTTGCCAGGGAAGCGCTTATTCCACTGAGCCATCTCCCCGGCCCCCTGATTTTGATTTTTTATATTTTGTTTTTTTGAGACAAGATCTTGCTTTTTTTTTTTGCGGATCCGGGGATTGAAAGATCTTGCTTTGTGATAGGTTTTTTCAGGCGCCTGGTGCAGCAGAGAAACAGGCAGAAGGGAAAGGGGAAAGGGGCTTTCTCATCTTTGAGAATACAGAGGGGTTTTTGGGCTGGCTCAGGCTACCTTAAAGGCCATCCAGTAAGGCCTGTGGAGGTGGGGAATTCCCAGTATCCTGCTTGCATAATCAGGCGCTGAAACTACCAGCAGGCCCCGGAGAGCATGGAGAATGTGGGGAAGATAAGGAATTCTCCCTGCTTGGAACAAAGGGAGGCTGAGGCTCTTGGCCTGCTGCCCGGTGGGGCTTGAGGGGGATGTTTACATATACCTGAGGGAGCTGACTGGGGGGTCTTCCCTGAGGCCAGCAGGCGGGAAGGATCAAAGAAAATTGTACCCTGGGCTGAGTTGGGCTGAGTTGGAGAAGGGGCGTTGGTCTTGGGGAAGATGAGCGTTTGTTTTAAGGGCTTCAGCCTGATGGCCACCATGATGATTCAGCACTTCATACTAGGGCCAGAGCCTATCCTATGTAGTTCAGACTAGCCTTCAGTGCACTGGCTGGCCTTGAACTCTCAGCGATTCTCTCTCTCTTTCTCTCTCTCTCAACATGAATTTATTTTTTATTTTTATTTTTGGCAGAACTGGGGATTGAACTCATAGCCTTGTGCTTGGCAGGGAAGCACTTATTCCACTGAGCCGCCTCCCCGGCCCCTGCAGGCTTCAGCTTCCTGAGCGCTGGGATTACAGATGGGCACTGCTACGCACCTGGCTATCCTTTGAGTTTTAGTCAATGACGTTCTTTTTGGGTTAAATGTGGTCGTTTTCCACAGAATACCATTCAGTGGTCCGCTATGCCAGTCGGTGTCCTCTGACTGGGAGCTGAGACTGCTGACATGGAGCACTGTCCCTGAGAGGTACTCACTCACGCTTGTCATCACCTTGTTTTGCCGTGGCTGACTCCCGCTTTGCCGTCTGCCGACCTGGGGTCATTGTTAGCTTCCCTGTCTCTTGCTGGCGTGCCCTGGGGAAGCTCTTGCTGTGCTGGGTTGTAGTCATGAATTTATTTAGGTGGTGTTTAGCCTGAAAGTATTTTATTTTTCCATCAGTTTTGAAGTATAGTTTGCTGGCTGTGTCAGCCTGGGTCTTGAAACACTTTACTCCAAGCTCTCCTAAGGTTTGAGAAGTCTGCTGTACTTCTAGTGGGTTTTCCTTTAGAAGTGATTTCTTTTTTTTGTCTGATCCCTTTTAAGATTCTGGTATGCTGGACTTCTAAGATTTTGATGGTGATGTTTTCTGATGGTGGCTCTGTGGAGTTTTTTTTTTTTTGAGTTTGGTGCAGGTCTCGCTATGTTGCCCACACAGGTAGTGATGCCCGTGTCTCAGGCCCTGTTTCAGCGGCCAGCTTGGTGCTGGGCTAGCATGGCATGTGGTAGCAGGGATCAAACCTGGGTCCTTGCGTCTGCCTAAACAGACATTTTCTTTCTTTCTTTTTTTTGGTGGAACTGGGAATTGAACTCAGACCCCTGCATTTTTTTTTTCTCCCCTAGGCCCCTGCATTTGCCAGGCAAGTGCTTATTCCACTGAGCCATCTCCCTGGCCCTGTAAATAGGCATTTTAATCCCCAGAGCTATCTGGCCAGCCAAGTAGATTTTCTTTTTTTAAAAATTTTATTTATTTATTTATTTGTGTGTGTGGCCACCTCAGCCCACCAGGGGGTGGGGCGGGCTGGCATGTGGTGCTGGGGGATTGAACCGTGGTCCCTGTGCTTTGCTAAGCTTGTTCTAAGTAGGTGCTTTAGACCACTGAGCCATCTCACCAGCCCCTGGGTCTTCTTTTTATTAGTGATTTTTTTTTCTTTTTGAGACAGGGACTTGCTGTGTAGTTCAGGTGTCCTTGAATTCACTCCGGTAGCCTAGGGTGACCTTGAACTTGCAGCAATCCTCCTGCCTCAGCCTTCCAGGTGCTGGGATTACAGATGTATACCATCACATCCAGCTATGAGAGTCTTGTTTAGATAGCTATGATTTTGTTTAGTTGGTCATATATATATATATACTGTGAGCTTGCCAAATGCCGTATTGAACTGTCATCTTTCCTGTTGATCTGCTGTCCACAAAAGAAGGGAGCACGTGGATGGTTAGCAGGGGTCTGAGGCCATGTCCAGGGAGAAACCGCACTTTGAAACCCACCCCTCGCACCTTCCCCAGAGAGCCCAAAGCCTGGGCCATACGCCCAGGGCTGCCTGGCCCAGGGAGCTGCGCGCCCTTCGCTGAGATGCAGCCTAAGCCTGAGGTAAAGGCCGTCCGTGCTACACTTCAGTTCTGTGTCCTAGGCTGCCACCCTCATGGTGCCCACCTCACCCTTGGGCTGAGGGCCGTTTGGTGCCCAGTCCTTGTCACGGGCTGGGGTCTTCCTGGTGTCTTGCAGGCTGCCGAGGAGTGAGCTCCCGCTCTCACAGCGTACTTCCTGGACTCTGCCTTTCTTTGGTCACCAGCACATGGCTTTGATCTCCTGCCATCCCCTGGGCGCCCCACCCGTATCTCCGATTCCTCCCCTGGGTGCTAGGCTTTCTCAGGACAATTTTACCCCCCCCCCCCGCGCTTTCTTTTTTTTTTGAGCAGAGAGAACAGTTATTCATGAACTTGTTGGGGGTGGCACAGTGGAAGCCTTCAGGAGTGCAGGGCTCACCGCTTGTTCAGGGGACCGTGGTTCGGGATGTATTTCACCCCGCAGCCATCAGGGATGAGGCGCTTTTCGGCCACCATGTCTTCAAATTCATCCGCATTGAACTTGGTGATGCCCCGTGTTTTGGAGATGTGGATCTTCCGGCGGCCAGGGAACTTAAACTTGGCCCTGCGCAGGGCCTCGATCACATGCCCCTTGTTCTGCAGCTTGGTGTGCATGGACATGATGACCTGCCCAATGTGGACCCTTGCCCCCATGCCCTGGGGCTTCCCAAAGGTACCCCGCATGCCAGCCTGGAGCCTGGTTTGGGGTTGGCAAGGTCAGACACACAGAACGCCCACCAGGAGGAGTGTCTCCAAGGTCCCCTAGGGCAGCCTACACAAGCACCAGGCTGCATACACTACCGAGGAGGTTACTGTGTGCAGCCACTGCACACCCCTTCTTTATTAGTCCCAGGGATTGAACCCAAGGCCTTCACATTGAAAATGACGTCTCACCATGCAGTTCATGCTGGCCTTCAACTCAGGGTGATCCTCCCACCTCAGCCTCCTCAGTGCTGGGATTACAAGTGTGTGCCACCGTGCCTGGATTCTCCAGACAAGTCTGTCTGTTTTATTTGTAGACAGGGTCTCACCAAGTTGCTGAGGCTAGGCTTGAACTTGGACTCTTCCTGCCACTGCCTGCCTCCCAGGTGGCAAGATACCAGGCGTGCGTCACCGTGCCCGGCTGTACCCTCACTCTAGCACATCCTTCAGGTGCCTGGGACTCCACATCTGCTGCCAGCCCTCCCCTGCTGTCCCTGCAGTGGACATTTACTGCCCAGTTTCTTCCTAAAGAGGCCATGTTAAATATCCGAGAGTCCAGCTCCAATGTGATTTCAAAAATTTATTAACACTTTTCATTGACAAATAATTGTATTACATTTATTTTTTATATTACACTTATGGGATACAACATCTATTTTAATACATGTATACAGTGTGGAATGACTGGATCAAACCAACATCCTTCCCTTACCCGATTTTTTTTCTGTGGTCAGACACACGAGCTATACTTTCTCGTTCCTTATATTTTTGCCATTCTGATGCCTGTCCAGTGACATCGCATGATATCTTACTTGGCATTTCTTTGACAAGGAATGGTGCTGAACACACTTCGCTTCTTATTGGCTACCTGGCAATTTCTCTAGCAAAGTGCTTACTCTCCTGCCATCTGGTTTACCTGCTGCGTCATAGCTTGAGGGATTCCTTATACTTTCTGCATGGGTGCTTCCCTAGGTGCGTTCTTCGTCTCTTCTGGCCTACTTCTGGCCTTCTACTTATGCTACGAGTATCATTTCCTCAACGTGTTTTGTACTTTTGATGAAGTCTAATGTAACCTTGTGTGTTCAGTTTCTTTTATGTAGTAAGACATGACTGACAAACTGAAGGTAGTGACAGGAATCTCTGCTTTCTCTGGGAAGTCTGCTGTTCTTTTAAACCCACTGCACTCCCAGGTGATCTGGTCCTAGTTCCCTAAGAGTAACACAAATGGTGGTCACAAGAACAACAATAGTTAATAGTTACTGAGCTGACACAGTATTCCAGATACAGTGTCAAGGAGTTCACGTGTACCTTACATTTAATTTTCACAACGGCAATCTTAGGTAGATTTGGTTATCCCTATGTACAGACGCTGCACGTAACGAACGTTTTACAGACACACATGGTTTCAAGTTACAGATGTTTCAACTTACAACTTTTCAACTTTAACGATGGTGCAAAAGCGGACCCACACAACCACTGATTTCTGATCTTTACGATGGTGCAAAAGCGAACCCACACAACCACTGATTTCTGATCTTTACGATGGTGCAAAAGCGAA